TCTCCTCTCGGGATCTTGGGCACACACACACACACACACGCACGCCCAGCGTGAGTTTAAGCTACTGGGTCTGGGACTCAAACCGCAGTCGTCTACATGGGAGTCCAGTGACATAGCCATTACGCTAACTGCTGGTCTTCAAAATTAAGTAGTTCTTATAAAAATCGGTGGCGTGGTGGTTGAGGGTGCTGTATTTTCACATGGCTGGCCACGGTTTGCATCCTGGACCTGGCAGCTTGCTTTCTCTCTTTCCTTTTCTCTCTCTCGATGTCTTTCTCTGGTCGAATTAAATAATAGTAGTGGGAACCAGCAGTTAGTGTAATGGCTATGTCGCTGGATTCCCATGTAGTCGACCGCGGTTCGCGTCCTGGACCCGGTGGCTTAGAACTCACACAGGGCGCGTGTGCGTGCGTGCCCAGGATCCCAAGAGGAGAATGGAGAAGGGATTGCGGCGTGACCATCCCCCCTGGGGGGTGATTTCTCACTTTCTGTCTCTCTGTCTCTCTCTGTCTTTCTGGCGAGCGCATGTGCCCTATAGCAAAAACCTCTCCAAAAAAAAGAAAAAAAAATAATAGTAGTAACAAATGGAATTAAATAAATAAATCTTTTTAAAAAGAAATAAAGTGTGTTCATTTTAAAATACAAATGGCAAACTGATACTATTTTAAAAATCTGAACATCATAAAAATGTATTTCCTTGTATATTTTCCTATCTGCATGACCATCTCCTTGTCAGCTATGCTAGTAATCTTGAAATTCACTTTAGTTTGTTCTTCCTACCCCTCCTGTTCAGTCATCACCAAATCCCACTTCAGCAGTGCCCCTCAAATCCAACGCTCCATTTTCAGAATCTGCTATGCCCATATGCTACTTCTTTTCCCAAACCCTTGCTTTCCTGCCTAGCACACTGCTGTCCATCTCAAATGTCACTGCTCCACTTCCCTCCTCCCCGTGCCCAGCTGCTGCCAGCCAGTGAATTCTTCCCTCACTAGCCTCGCTAGCCTGAACAGAAAAACTAGTTCTCTCATTTCATCCCACAGCACTTCGTCCTGATAGCGCTGACCACGTTGTACTTCATGCTCACCTCCACAGTCTCACACCCTCTCCTGCTGGCGTGAGAGCTGTATAAGAGCAGATGCCGTGTGTGAGTCATCCTCTTATCTCCCAGCCCTCATCCAGTGCCAGGCACATAGTAGGCAGGCAATACATGTCTGAATGAATTTCAACAGTGGACAGAGTCTAAAACCAGCATATGTCTTTTTCTCTGTGCAGAGATCAGTACCGAAGAGCAGCTAAGGCGCCTCCAGGAGGAGAAGCTTTGCAAAATCTGTATGGATAGAAATATTGCCGTGGTTTTTATTCCTTGTGGAATGCTACTTCTTTTCCCAAACCCTTGCTTTCCTGCCTAGCACACTGCTGTCCATCTCAAATGTCACTGCTCCACTTCCCTCCTCCCCGTGCCCAGCTGCTGCCAGCCAGTGAATTCTTCCCTCACTAGCCTCGCTAGCCTGAACAGAAAAACTAGTTCTCTCATTTCATCCCACAGCACTTCGTCCTGATAGCACTGACCACGTTGTACTTCATGCTCACCTCCACAGTCTCACACCCTCTCCTGCTGGCGTGAGAGCTGTATAAGAGCAGATGCCGTGTGTGAGTCATCCTCTTATCTCCCAGCCCTCATCCAGTGCCAGGCACATAGTAGGCAGGCAATACATGTCTGAATGAATTTCAACAGTGGACAGAGTCTAAAACCAGCATATGTCTTTTTCTCTGTGCAGAGATCAGTACCGAAGAGCAGCTAAGGCGCCTCCAGGAGGAGAAGCTTTGCAAAATCTGTATGGATAGAAATATTGCCGTGGTTTTTATTCCTTGTGGACATCTGGTCACTTGTAAACAGTGTGCTGAAGCAGTTGACAAATGTCCCATGTGCTACACAGTCATTACGTTCAAGCAAAAAATTTTTATGTCTTAATCTAGCTCTACAATAGGCATGTTATGTCCTTCTTACCACCCTGATTGAATGTGTGATGTGAACCGACTCGAAGTAATCAGCATTGAATTCCATTAGCGTTTGATACCAAGTAGGAAAAAAATGTAAGACGGCAGTGTTTTAGTTGGCAATCTGAAATCTCAGTTTCTGGATTTTTCAGGGTATTAGCTGTACTAATCTGATCTAATTTTTCCCCCGTTATTTAACTGAAACCCTAGACTAAGAAGCATCCTGTTTGAACTGATCATAATTTGTATTCATAGCACACTGACTTTGTTCCTAAGTGTAAGTGAGTTAATCATTTAAATTTTGCACTCTTTTCATATAGATCGAATAATTGGAACATTCCATATCAACAGGGAGATGAAAGTCATCTCCCCACTTACATAGTTTGTTTCGTGTGAAAAGGAGTGAAGTGTTCCACACTGGTGAAAAGATAATTTTTCAATGTTTGTCTTTGTGTTGTAGAATTCTGTCCATTTTCTTGTAGAATTGTAAACACTTATTGGTGTGAATGATTTAAACCAAGTGATTTTGCCAATTTCAAGAGAGTGTTTCAGGATAGACTACCATCTAGCCAACATGTACTGACATGGAAAGATGTCAAAGATATATTAAGGGTAAAATGCAAGCGGCAAAACACTATGTAGAATATGAGCCAAATCCAAGGTGTGTGTTTTCTGTATGTGTAGAGCAAAAGGTTTGGAAAAATATGCACCAATCTGTTAAATGTGGTTTGTCTTCAGGGGGTGGGGGACAGGTCCCAGTGGGGTTTATAGGGGCCTTTCACTTTCTGGGTTTTTTTCATTTTTTGTTCTGTTTGAATTTTTTATAAGTATGTATTACTTTTGTAATCAGAATTTTTAGAAAGTATTTTACTGATTTAAAGGCTTAGGCATGTTCAAACGCCTGCAAAACTACTTATCGCTCAGCTTTAGTTTTTCTAATCCAACAAGGCAGGGCAGTTAACCTTTTTGGTGCCAATGTGAAATTTAAATGTTTTTCTGTGTTCCCTGCTTTGTGGTTGATAAATATTTCTGAGTGGTAGTTTTCCGACAGGTAGACCATGTCTTCTTATCTTGTTTCAAAATAAATATTTCTGATTTTGTAAAATGAAATATAAAACATGTCTCAGATCTTCCAATTAATTAGTAAGGATACATCCTTAATCCTTGCTAGTTTAAGCCTGCCTAAGTCACTTTACTAAAAGATCTTTGTTAACCCAGTATTTTAAACATCTGTCAGCTTATGTAGGTAAAAGTAGAAGCATGTTTGTACACTGCTTGTAGTTATAGTGACAGCTTTTCATGTTGAAATTCTCGTATCATCTTGTATCCGAAAGTTTTGTGCGAGTTTTTAACTGTTAAGATGATTAAGATGTATATAGGATAAACTGTTAAGTCTTTCCTCTGCGTTTTTTTGTTTGTTTGTTTGTTTGTGGGTTTTTTTTGGTGTCTTGACTAGTAATATTATTAGATACTTCTGATATAAATGTTCTCTCAAGATCCTTTAAACCTCTGGGAAATTATGAAATACTGACAAAAAAAAAGAATAGTTATTTAAATATGAAAGAGAAAAACAAGAAAACTCAAGTAAGAGTTGATATGGGTAAAAAAAGTAGAAGTTTAAAAATGCTTCCTAGAACACCCAGAGTGTATATTACAGGATTCCTGTGGCCGACGTGTCAGAGGTGAGTGAAGCATTTTACTGCAAAGTTTGAGAGTGAAACTGTTCAAAGTTATATTTTCATTGTATTTTCTAAGAGAAAGAGTATTGTTATATTCTCCTAACCTTTGTTGATTACTACTTTAAGTGATATTCATTTAAAGCATTGCACATTTAAATGAGAATTTTAAAAATTGAATGATGACCGTCCTGCTTTTGTTTTGTTTTGTTTTGCTATATAAATCCTCAGTTCTTCGCCTTTGCAGTGTCCTCTACTTCGGTTTGATTGCATAGTCATTAATTGAATTTGACTCAGATAGTCGGAACTTTAAAGCACTCTACAAGGAGAGAAAAGTATTAAAATGTTTTAAATATATTTTCTAAGACACGTCAGCTCCAAATCAGGTGGATAGTTCAATCTAGTTGTTAGCCAAGGACTCAAAGACTGGTTTCAAAACAGGTTTTTCCTGTTCTGGGAGCCTCAGTTCGTTAACTCTTCTTTTAAAACTTGCGTGTTTAGAGTGAAGCTAGGCTTTTTTTTTTTTTCCTCTCTCCACGAGTTGTGAAATTTAATGCATGAAGCTGATGTGGCTAACAAGTTTATTTTAAGAATTGTTTAGAAATGCTGTTGCTTCAGGTTCTTAAAATCACTCAGCACTCCAAATTTTAATCGGATTTTGGAGACTTACCAGTGTTTGTCTGTGTTCACGCTATAAAAAAACACCAGATTCTTTCCATCTACTTGTGCAAAAATTGATCACTTGTAAGGTCATAAATAAAACCAGATCTAATCTCTGCACACCCCCATTAGCTCTCAGCATCTACATGGACACATTCTTTTTCTGTATAAAGTTCACTTTAGGATTTCAAAGTCAACTACCTATTTGACTACATTTTAGTCATGTGACGATTCAAGTTGTTTTGTAATAAATAGTTATCTTTATTTGTAATAATTTAGTGTGCTGATCAAAAGTCTATCTTGAGAAATGGCTTTAGCATTTATAAAGTAAATCCCAATTTTCTAACTGATGACTTTAATGAGTTTGTATTGTCTTTCCTGCCTTGCTAGTTTAAGCCTGCCTAAGTCACTTTACTAAAAGATCTTTGTTAACCCAGTATTTTAAACATCTGTCAGCTTATGTAGGTAAAAGTAGAAGCATGTTTGTACACTGCTTGTAGTTATAGTGACAGCTTTTCATGTTGAAATTCTCGTATCATCTTGTATCCGAAAGTTTTGTGCGAGTTTTTAACTGTTAAGATGATTAAGATGTATATAGGATAAACTGTTAAGTCTTTCCTCTGCGTTTTTTTGTTTGTTTGTTTGTTTGTGGGTTTTTTTTGGTGTCTTGACTAGTAATATTATTAGATACTTCTGATATAAATGTTCTCTCAAGATCCTTTAAACCTCTGGGAAATTATGAAATACTGACAAAAAAAAAGAATAGTTATTTAAATATGAAAGAGAAAAACAAGAAAACTCAAGTAAGAGTTGATATGGGTAAAAAAAGTAGAAGTTTAAAAATGCTTCCTAGAACACCCAGAGTGTATATTACAGGATTCCTGTGGCCGACGTGTCAGAGGTGAGTGAAGCATTTTACTGCAAAGTTTGAGAGTGAAACTGTTCAAAGTTATATTTTCATTGTATTTTCTAAGAGAAAGAGTATTGTTATATTCTCCTAACCTTTGTTGATTACTACTTTAAGTGATATTCATTTAAAGCATTGCACATTTAAATGAGAATTTTAAAAATTGAATGATGACCGTCCTGCTTTTGTTTTGTTTTGTTTTGCTATATAAATCCTCAGTTCTTCGCCTTTGCAGTGTCCTCTACTTCGGTTTGATTGCATAGTCATTAATTGAATTTGACTCAGATAGTCGGAACTTTAAAGCACTCTACAAGGAGAGAAAAGTATTAAAATGTTTTAAATATATTTTCTAAGACACGTCAGCTCCAAATCAGGTGGATAGTTCAATCTAGTTGTTAGCCAAGGACTCAAAGACTGGTTTCAACATAGGTTTTTCCTGTTCTGGGAGCCTCAGTTCGTTAACTCTTCTTTTAAAACTTGCGTGTTTAGAGTGAAGCTAGGCTTTTTTTTTTTTTCCTCTCTCCACGAGTTGTGAAATTTAATGCATGAAGCTGATGTGGCTAACAAGTTTATTTTAAGAATTGTTTAGAAATGCTGTTGCTTCAGGTTCTTAAAATCACTCAGCACTCCAAATTTTAATCGGATTTTGGAGACTTACCAGTGTTTGTCTGTGTTCACGCTATAAAAAAACACCAGATTCTTTCCATCCAATTGTGCAAAAATTGATCACTTGTAAGGTCATAAATAAAACCAGATCTAATCTCTGCACACCCCCATTAGCTCTCAGCATCTACATGGACACATTCTTTTTCTGTATAAAGTTCACTTTAGGATTTCAAAGTCAACTACCTATTTGACTACATTTTAGTCATGTGACGATTCAAGTTGTTTTGTAATAAATAGTTATCTTTATTTGTAATAATTTAGTGTGCTGATCATAAGTCTATCTTGAGAAATGGCTTTAGCATTTATAAAGTAAATCCCAATTTTCTAACTGATGACTTTAATGAGTTTGTATTGTCTTTCCTGCTAGAACCCCTCTCCCCCTCACTCCCCACCTTGGCTAGGGACTGAGGTGGGGTAGGGTGGGTGTAGGGAATGTATATAATGTGATTTGACCCTGTTTATTTTAGTCTTTTTGTCATATTTAAATTTTAATCATTTGTTTTCTGTTTCATTTTACTAGATAAAATGTGTATTTTGTACTCTCCGAATGGAGACTACCACCCCAGCATTAAGTACATCCATTGTACCCCTTAGACCCAAATCATGTTTTATTTCCTGATTACCCCGGTGTTGAATGAGGAAAAGGGTGAAGTAGGTGGAAGAAATGGGATAGACTGTGTGTCTTTACCAGTAGAGAATTAAGAAAATGGGAAAGAATATGTGACATAGTTTTTTTTCTTTTCTTTTCTTTTTTAACACTTTTTGTCATAGGGTACGTGCACTCACTGGAGAAAGAGAGTGAGAGAAAGAGTGATAAATCATCCCCCAGAGGGATGGCCACACTGCGATCCTTTTCCATTCTCCTGGGGTTGGGGCACATGTATCTGGTGTGATTTTCAAGTCACTGTGTCTGAGACTCAAACCACAGTCAGCCATTTGGGAGTCCAACACCTTAACCACTATGCCACCTGCTGACCCCGTGACTTAGTTCTTTTAGCCAAATCTGCTTTTTAAAAGCCTAGCCTTTCTTTATCTGCAGAATGAGAATAATTCCTATGCACAAGGTTGTTAGACTTTCAAGAAACCATACATGTAAATCACCTGCTATAAATGTTACTTCTCATCTTAACAGCTTTTTACCCTCTGTGGGTTTGCCTGGACTTGGAAATTCGAACTAAATTTCAGAGGAAATTTTTACAAGATAACTCTTTCAGTGACTCTTAGTCACCTTTTTTTTTTTTTTGATATTTCTCATAGTTAGATACAAATTACATGGCAGGATGGGAAAATGTGGAGATGATGGTCAAAGGTACAGAGTCTCAGGATGAATTTTTTGTCCTTTCTTGGTTCTGTTGCACAGTGTGGTAAATACTCTTAATAATAGGGCATTGTGGGTCCAGCACATGGTATAATGGTTACATTGCTGGACTCCCACATGGACGACTACAGTTCAAGTTCTGGACTCGGTGGCTTCAAACTCATGCCAGGCGTGCCCAAGATCCCAAGAGGAGAATGAAAAAGAAGGGATTGAGGCATGGTCATCCCCTCTATGGGGTGATTTCTCACTTTCTGTCTCTCTGTCTTTCTGTGTCTCTTCCATGAGTGCATGTGCCCTATAGCAAAAAAAAAAAAAAAACTTCTTGAAAAACATAATAATAATAATAGGGGATTGTGCATTTCAAAATTACTAAAAGTAAATTTCAAATGTTCTCACAAATGTTATGTATTTGAGGTAATGGATATGTTAACTAGTTTGATTTAATTATTTCACTTTGTATTAGTGAATTATAATATCACTTTTTTACCATGTAAATTTATACAAGTATAAATTGTCACTTAATAGTAAAAATATAATAAAGAAAAAAAGACGTAAATTACAACAAATAGTTAAACCGTTAAAATATTTATTTTTTAATTTTGAAAAATTAGCAAATTTAGGTGAGTTTTCCTAATAGAAACAGTTGGTGTAGTCTCACCTTAATAATCAGTTTCAGTTAGATTCTTGCACACCTAACACAGTGTGAATTTCTTTCTCAACATGCTAGAATCTTGGAGTGTCTGAGCAGGAAGTGACCTTAGAGTATCTGGTTCACCCCCCTCATTGTACAGGTGGGCAACTGAGGCTCAGAGGTGAAGTGATTTGTTCGAAGCTACTTAGCTGATCAGTGGCAGAGTCCTGACTGGGACTTAGTTCATGGTGAAAAACTTCACTAAGCTACCTCTCCTGGGAGGTTTCTTTCCACTATGTCATGATTTTCACTACATATTAAATAATGACACTTTGTAATTAATACAATAGGACAATCTTAAGCACATGCATCTTCAAATTGAACAATAATACTACATTAATGCTTGGGTGGTAAGATTGTATTTTGAAGTCTGAAGTTTGCAGATAATGCATATAGATTTTTGGCATTTACTAATGACTTATGTGTCATTAATGTAACCTTAAAGTTACTATGTAAGTCAATTTCATCATTTTGTCTATACCTAGTAACAAATTTGCATTTTTGATTTGATGTGAAAAAGGCTTTTAAGTAATTTCTGTTGGATTTTAAATTGTCTTCATTACTGTTGTACTTTAACCTGACAGAATGACTGATTCTGTTGTCGTTGTATTAGTATTGTGAATAATCATGTGAAATGTTTGAGAGAGAGTACTATATTTGTGAATATAATTTTATGACTTTGCATTTAGTAGATCCTTTCTATCTGTATGGGAAGCCAAGAAGATTCTTTCTGCTGTATAATCTGACATTCATCGTAGACTAAAGCTTATTTTTGTGTGAATAAAACTTATTCAATAAAGTACTATTCTTTAAATGGATATCGTATTTGTATTTGTTTCACTTTCTCAAAAGAAAACCAAAATAGCTGAGTTTAAAAAAATACTAAAATAGGGACTGGAAGTGGGCATGGTGGTTAGGGTGCTGGACTCATGTAATTGACCATGGTTCAAGCCCCAGACCTGGCAATTTGCTTTCTCACTTTTTCCCTCTCTCTCTGTCTCTGGTGAGCACACGTGTCCCACAGCAACATTTTTAAAAATAATAATTTTTTTAAAAAAATACTAAGATGGGGACCAATATGTGGTATGGTGGTTAATGTGCTGTGCTCCCACATTATTAA